GAAATTAGGCTTAAAAAAATTCCCAAAATTTTTGGACCCTGAGATTTGCTCTTTTCTCGCTCGTGTCCAAAAACGCCCTTGATTGTACTAATCTTCATGCCTTGCGAAAACGAAAAGATTTCGAGGTTCGCTTTTTGAATGCATTGGCTCGTGACAAAAAAAAAAATATCAGGGATTCCGGAGGTTCGTTCGTTTCTTCTTTTAAGGACCCAAACACTTTTCTCGCTCTCTTTTTTTTTTAATCACGCTCAGGTACCATCGAGCACTGAGTTCCATTGTCTTCATTCGTCCTCTTCCAAGTTCGATTCCTCTCTTTTTCTTGTTTGAATCACTGTTGAACATTTGGAATGTGCATGGAACTCCCAATACTCGTTGATATATTGATCGAGTTTGTCGATTGACCGACTTATTCATCAAATTATGTGCATGGACATTTTTTGGTGTTTTTTTCCTTCTTACATTGTGCTTTTAGATGCAATAGTCGGATCTATGTTAATCCATGGATCATATCGTTGTATAGTGATACTAGCAACGTCGTGTGATATATGCAGGTATGGCTTCTGTACACAGTACCTTGATGTCTGTCGTATGCGACACCAAAAACCACTCTGCATGGCCCAAACTTCCCAACTCCTCCTTATTACCTGGATTTGATGTCGTTGCTTAAGCTGCTGCAACTCGATTCAAGAAGGAGACAAGCATACGAGCCACTTTGACATTTGATCCACCAACGACTAATTCAGAGAGAGCCAAGCAGAGAAAGCATACCATTGATCCTTCTTCTCCTGATTTCCAACCAATCCCATCTTTTGAGGAATGCTTTCCCAAGAGCACTAAAGAACACAAGTATTGTTTGCTTCACTCATTTACATTTTCATATTTTGTTGGAATAGTTTAATCACTGTTTTGGTTTTGATCGTTTCAGGGAAGTTGTTCATGAAGATACTGGTCATGTTCCCTTTCGACGTGTTCATTTGTCTATTGGTGAGCCAGCTTTTGATACTTATGACACTAGTGGTCCTCAGAATGTTAACCCACACATTGGTATGTGATTCGAGCTTGTGTTTTACCTATTCACTTCTCTTGTACTTTTATTTCTATATGACTTATCAACAACAAATGAAACTTACCAAACAGGGCCAGCTAAGCTAAGGAAGGAGTGGGTTGATCGCCATGAAAAGCTGGGAACACCTAGATGCACCCAAATGTATGTTAAGAAACCAACTTCTTTATTGCTTAACAATGTCGATTACACACAAGAACCTAGAGTTTATTCAAGAGTCCCTCTCTCTCCCATAGCCAAAGCTATCCTTGATACATCCATCACACACAATGCATAAACTCTCAAGAGAAATGACTTCTACTATTTATACTAAACAAGTACTAGTAGTCTTCACGTTCTGATGCTTTGCTTCTCTTGTTTCAGGTTAATGAGAACATGCCAGCTCAGCTACAGATTCTTGTATTCACACTTATCAATGTACTATGCTAAGCAAGGAATCATAACTGAGGAAATGCTCTACTGAAATATCGGAAGTTGCACGGGGGAGGGCGGTTATCCCTTCCAACAAGAAGCATTTGGAGCTGGAACCAATGATTGTTGGTATAAAATTCTTGGTTAAGGTCAATGCAAATATCGAAAACTCTGCTGTTGCAAGCTCGATTGAAGAAGAAGTCTACAAGCTTCAGTGGCAACAATGTGGGGAGCTGATACAATCATGGATCTCTCAACTGGTCGTCACATTCCCGAGACACGTGAGTGGATCTTGCGGAATTCAGCTGTTCCTGTTGGTACGATCCCTATTTATCAAGCACTTGAGAAAGTGGATGGAATTGCTGAGGATCTTAGCTGGGAAGTGTTCAAAGAGACTCTGATTGAACAAGCTGAGCAAGGTATAGACTATTTCACAATCCATGCTTGAGTTTTGCTGCGTTACATTCCCCTAACAGCCAAGCGTATGACCGGGATTGTTTCGCGCGGAGGATCCATTCATGCTAAATGGTGCTTAACTTACCACAAGGAGAACTTTGCTTACGAGCACTGGGATGATATTCTAGACATTTGTAACCAGTATGATGTTGCTCTTTCAATCAGAGATGGTCTGAGACCTGGCTCGATCTATGATGCTATGTAACACCGAAAGAGCACCTTGGTTTACCAAACAAGGATGATGTGAATGCCGGGGTTATAGCATACAAGATCGCTGCTCATGCAGCTGATCTAGCCAAACAGCATCCACATGCCCAGGCATGGATGGACCAGTTTGCTCTATCCGTGGACCCCATGACTGCTATGTTATGTCTTTCCATGATGAAACTCTTCCAGTTGATGGAGCCAAGGCTGCGCACTTTTGCTCCATGTGTGGACCAAAATTCTGCTCTATGAAGATAACAGAAGACATCCGAAAGTATGCAGAGGAGAATGGTTATGGCACTGCTGAGGAAGCTGTCAAACGAGGAATGGAGGCTATGAGTGAAGAGTTCAAAGTTGCAAAGAAAACCATTAGCGGAGAGCAGCACGGTGAAATAGGCGGAGAAATCTACTTGCCAGAGAGCTATGTCAAGTCTGCTCAGAAATAAAAGGTCAGTATTACTTAGAAGTTGCTTGCTTAACAAACATGTTACATACTTCTTGCTCGTTGACAAGCATAACGTGTATAATTTTTTCATGAATTCTGCAAAAATAAGCTTATTTCGTATAATCAAATGTGTTTTTTCTTCTGCTTCCTCAAGGTTGAAATAGGACCTCGCTTACCCAAGTCTTGGTGCCTGTTGGACTATACCTGGAAAAGGCACACACTGTAGGTAAGCTTAGTAGTCTCTGTGTCTTGTTAACTTTAGAACTATCTATGTTTCTGTCTGTTGTTCCTTTGAGTGAAAAGTCAGCAATAAAGACAATCTAATTTGATGTTTTCAATACCTTGTGTATGATTTGGCTGCTATATTGACTTGCAAAAGCACCAGGGGTGCTTGAACCAGGCTAGCCCGTGAAAAAAGCGGGCTAACCAGGACCAGGCTGAGAAAGTCCCTTTGAACCTGAACAGGGTAATGCCTGCGCAGGGAGTGTGCAGTTTTTTCTTCTTTCTTTTCTGTAGCTTTCTTCAGGAGAAGAAGCTTCTGCTGCTGCCGCTCTCCCGAGTCTTGGTCCACGATTTGATTCTCATGAGTAGAAATTCAGCTTCATTGACTAACTGACATCCATTACAAAAAAAAAAAAAAGCCTCAAGTAAAGTAACTGATGCACTAAGTTACAAACACTCAAAATTTCATTCAGATTGACAAAAGCTTTTGCACCTTTTGAGGCATAAACTAAAATCAGTCTGCTCTGTTAATTTGTTTCCCAGCTCCACAATATAAATCAAATTTTGTTAGACCAAAAGAAACACAGAGCAGATTTTAGAACTATAAAAAACTTGACATTCATGATCATGTTCGGTTGATCGCTTTGAAAAATATTTAGCTTGTAGAGAGACATTTATGAAGGTAGAATGATGCAGTGAAATAAATTTTACATACCGCAGATAAGCAGAATGGATCGAGCTGTCATGGCCCAATCCCATAAAATTCCCCAAAATCTAAAAAAAAGCCCGTTACGTGTGGCCCAAGTGCTAAGTAAAACCCTAACCTNGAGTCCCCTTTATCTNTATATAANCCACGCAAGTGAGAGGAGGATCAGAGTTGCGCAGCTAGAGAAAAACCCTATTGCTATCCCACTTGCCTTCTCAGTCAAGCTAGTTCCGAGTAGCTGTTTTTCGGGGCTGATT